ATTCAAATACTAACGCTTTACCATTACCACTAATATATATATATATATATACACACACAAACATTATATATATATATATATATATGACATGCGACACGGCGGTTGAAAATCACTGACTTAAGGGAACCGATACGTTCTTCTATCGGAAGGATGGCTAAGAATACAATGGACGGAAGGTGTAAGTAATGCAGAAGATTTAAGGAAATGAAAACGATGTCACTTAGAGACAGCATTTCTGAAACAAAAAAAAGGAAGTAGACCAGGAAATTTAGCACACGGATGACGTATCGGCGATAAAGAAAACAGCAGGAAATAGCGAGTAAGCTGCCTGAAGAGCGTATGTAAAGGGATATAAGGGAATAAGAAAAGAAAAAAAAACGTAAAAAAGACATATTACGAGTCGATGTCTAACGCTCTGGTTGCGCACATTCTGAAAAGACACGTCCCTTAGAAGTTATATTAAAAAACAAAACCCAGCACCATTCCATTTTCTCGTAGAGCATTTAGCCTTAATAATTGATGTCAAGATTGCATAAAGCTCGTCTATTTAACATCTTGCTAAATATTAAAGCCACTTCCTATGCCTCGCTCTCGTCCTCCTTAGATAGGTGTCATCTATATTCTTCAACTATATGCTCCTGTCAGTCTGATGATAACCTACTCAGGACAGATTTTCGAATATGCAAAATAGTGAACAATTTTCCGGCAATACAACAGCACACATAATTACTTTCAAATATTAATTATTCTTCCGTCAGATTTAGTGCCATTGCCAGACTGTTTGCTATGAAGATGCTTTAAAGCAGCAGCAAACCTGCCAAGCTGGCGCCCCTCACTAAGTTCCGTTTCGATTAAAACATTAACATTATTCGAAATTTTCTCTACTGTAGTTACAATAATAGATATTTAAAAAAAAAAAAAAAAAAAAAAAAATCACTAGACTGAATGCTTGCAGCATATAATTTAAAAAAATATATTATTTTGGTGACGTTTTTCTTTATTTTGTGTACACATAGGCAGTCATTTTGAAAGGGATTAAGATAATGATATAATTAACTAGATCCAAGAACATTTACTCTGGAATTCGAAGCATGCAATTAACTTAATTATTAAGTAGATTATTATCTGATCGTTCCAGCAATTTCTATATCAAGGAAAGCTATATTGCCGATAGGCATCGTTTAAAAGAAATATTGCACATTTTTAAATTATAGATATGAAAAAATGCCAATTGATATTTAAAAGAATTAAAAAAAACATTAAAAATGGTCAATTTTGCTGACTTAAAAAAAAAAACAAGATTTTTAACGAAAATTTCGGACGTGCTAGGAATGATTTAAAAATGTAAAAAATACCCCCAAAATACGTTGATCTTTCCTCTTAATAATAAACATTTAGACGATAACATTTTGTTTTAGGCAAGCTTGGCGTCTTTTTCATCAAGCTATGCTCTTTCTTTTAGCGATTTCGTGGAGGTACCTATAGCGAAACTTATGTCCCAATATTTTTGTTAAAGGATGATTTCTGTCGGATATAGAGCATTTGGAGATTTGTGGACGTAAGCATCATCATTGATCCCATTCTCTTAGAGAGAGAGAGATGCATATCTCTCTCTCTCTCTATATATATATATATATATATATATATATATATATAAGAGAGAGAAAGAGATCACACATGGAGAACCCTCAATGCAACTGCATAAATGTTTCCACATCAAGAAAACTGCCAACAATAAAATAAGCAAAGGAAGTGAAAACAATAGCACAATGTACTACATCGGTTCCACTGAGGGACCTTTCGAGAAAGGAAAATACAACTATGACCTAATTCTTCGACAGAAAATACCCAAACAGCGCTAAACTATCCCCATTCATATGGATACTAAAAGACAGAAATATTACACCAAGAATAAACTGGAAAATATTGAAAAACGCATCTGCGTACAACAAAAAATCCCTACTTTGCCTACACCAAACAATAGAATTTACTAAACATAAAGGAGAAATAATTTCTAAATGCAGACCTGAAAACAAATACTTATAATCACAACTTTTAAGAAACAAATAGAAATTACCAACCGACACTGCTACATAAACCACAATTGACGCTATGAACACGAAAAAGAAACCACTGACACCATAACACTAATTATTTTTTACTATAATTACTACAACCAATTTTACCATAACTGTTTTCTGCTACAACTGTCATTATCATCATTCACTCCTCCCACGATTACTACCGCTCCAGTACCACCCGCACAAACTGTAACCACTAATTACAGTTCGCCGCCGTCATTACCCCAATATTGTAAATATAACAATTATTATTTAAGTCTTACTAGTAGATATATCTTTCTTACCATTTAATCCCACTTATCTCAACTTTGCAACCATTATTCTATTCTCACTATTTCGCCAACACAATTACCATTGTCGCATTAGTCTACAATTATACCACCACATCAAAATTAATACCATCGCATAAATAACAAGTATTATAAATTAGAATTTCTACCATTTATATAAGCGCACTCGCTTAAAACAAGCAAAAACCGGCATTAAAAGTAAAAAACATCAAAAATTTAAAAAAATGATAAATTTACCTACCATAGTCTTACACAGACTCCATTTGAAGGAAAAAAAACAAAACATAAAAGATGTGTGAACTCGTGTGCATAGGTATATGCGTGTGAGAGAAAATATTCCGAACAAAATAGACGAATGACACGGAAACTTGGAAAAAATTTGCTAAACAAATCCAACAATACAGCGACCAATTGTGTACGTATGCACGTAACGACATACGGACGCGCACATATTCCCAGTCCCTAGACTGTTCAGATATTTATGCTTGTGAGCAGCAATGCGTGCGTACGTATTAATGGCGTTCCGACGACAATTTTTCCTCCTATTACCATAAAACACCGACATAAGTAACCATAAATAATTACAAAATTTCAAAATTAATCATTTTGTCAGACGATCGCAAGGAGCGTGAAACAGTGTCACAAACTCACATCAATCTAACTATATATAGCGAAACAGTGTCTGTGGATGATAATATATATGCACCTGAAAATTTCGGTTTAGCTATCTGGGGAAGGAAATGTGAGTTTGTAAACAGTGACTATTATAGATGATAATGCAAGACTCTTCGGTAAAGCGATTCGAGTCCTCTCGGCCAATGTGTGTTTATCTAAAAATAAATACGAGTAAACGTCACCTTCTTTCCTGCCGTGCGCAAACGGCTTAGGGGTACAATCTCCGACTGACGCCAATTTAGCCGGGTTTTGATACCAGCTCGAGGCATCCGGACATCTAGCCACACTGGTGAGCTGAGATACAGCGAAACAGTGTCTTTGAAGAAGATAGATAGATAGATAGATAGATAGATAGATCTCGCGATAAAGAGGAGGAACTGAAGAATCCTGCGTGAATGGGATCAATGTTGATGTCTAGGTCCAAAATCTTCAAATCTACAAATGCTCTATCGCCGATAGAAATCTCACTTAACATAAATATTGTGTGGCGTATATATATAAGTAAATGTGAATTCCATACGGTTTGTATATTACTACGTGCATGTGGGTATATTCCAAAATGTTTCTTCTCTGCGTGTACTTCTGTGGTTTCTATCCTTTTCACAGGCTTTTACGTTGCCGTTTCTCTTTGGCCAACTAGTACTGCCTCCACCAATCTCCACCGACGTAATACACATTCTTGAGCGCGCCATTTCAAAATGCGAAATGACGTATTTATGGGCCTGGCCAACCCCAGTTGCCCTCGCCGCAGGGTTAATGTAAATTTTATTGCTCTGCGTTTGAAAGTTAATTGCTCGATTCTGGTTTCTCTTGTTGAACTAAGCGCCGGTAACGCGCTTGATCCGTTTCACCGTTTTTCTTGTGAAAGAACGAACAAGAAAGAGATCGCTGATGTGTCAAGACTAACACACTTCCTCTCGATGAAATGCAGGCTGAACACGTAATTGAAAAATTTGCAAAGCTGAAAAGCAGCGATGAATTATTTGAGAAGTAAATGGTTGCAAAGACTTGTCTGAGTGGACGTTTAAAACGAATCTTTCCACAACTACTTGATGAATTAGAGTAGCTCTTTTTTTTTATTCGTATGGAATTATTTAAGTGTCAGATAGAAAAAAAAAAAGCTTATATTTAGTGTGCACATTGCTATAAATTTCCTTGCGATTAAGAATGATTTCTCGTTGCCTTCTCTAGAGTTTATTGCGATAACTTCTCAAGCAAGCTGGCCGTTGACTCATGGAAAGTTCTTGCGCCATTCAACTCTTTGGGTAATATAAAGAGGAAAGATGTCTTGTAGAAACTTACAGAGAGAGGACATAGGCACCTCGATGTGGTGTAATGGTTAGCAGGCTTGTCTCGCTAGAACAATTACAACCGAGTAGTGAGTTCGATCCCCACTGGCTGCTCCATACTTCTGGCCTTGTGCCACATCTAAGCAACGCTTAGAAAATCTCTACAGAGAGAGGACATATTGAAGCACATGGAACAGATGGAAACTGCGTGTAACCTATAAAAGAGGTTGTGTAATATGATACTAAACCTGGGATTAAAGGGATGGATAAAAATTTTTAAAAAATATGGAGAGTCGTGATTGTCATTATCTTGAATACTGTACTGTACTGATGCGGCATTCACCCTGGGCGGATTGAGCCGGCTTCTTCCTGTTATGAGAAGATTCTTGGGATAAATTACAGAAGTAGGGTACCCAGGCCTACTCGGATAAAGTTCTTGCTTGCCGCGGGGTTCCCACAGACGCAGAGACAGGAACGACCAGAAGCCGCCGGTTACCGATGCAGACGCTCCTTGGATTTTCACCAGAGCCCTTGTTAGCCGGCGTGTGTGTTAGACCTGTCCGCCTTGGGTGGCCCTACCAGGAACGAAGTTCCGGGCGGCATAGCTCTGACACTACCGTTTACACCCCCCCACCGACTGTGAGGTAAGGGTTGGACTTTGGGGGCTTACAGTACCAGGTGTTCCCAAGCGGTCCCCTATCTAAGTACTGACCTGGCTCTACGATGCTTAACTTCGGTGATCGAACGAGAACCGGTGTTTCAGCGTGATTTTGACCGTAAGCTATTATCTTGAATGGACACAGGATAGAAAAAAAAAAAAACTATTTTTGGTGCAGTCATTAGTGAATACCTCCATTTTTTTTATTTTATTTTATTACATATAAATTTATTAAAATCTCGAATGATTTTATCAAACATCCTACAGAAAAAAAAGCTCTATTGGTACTTGTGAAAATGAAAAATCTTCCATTAATTTTTCCGATTTCTGTCTAAGATTTCTCGCTAGTGTAACACAATGCCGCAGAGAGCTGTTAACAGGACGATAGCGTTAAAATGATCTATCTTCCAGACTAAAGGACTTACATGTCTATTTTTTTATATCACCCAAAGTAAGGCGATAATGTCACTAAGACAAAGGTTTACTGAAGGTCAAAGAAAATAAGAACAACCCAGAAGAAGTAACTGGAAACCGAAACAAGAATTAAGTGGTAAATCGCTAAACCCCTTTAAAAAAGAGCAAAGAATCTGAAGTGTTGGTAGGCGAACCTATTGAACATATCTACTCCATTTCATTCGCTTTACGTGCTAATATACCCGTGGGAATGTTATGAATCCTCGTCTTCTCCCACACACCAGATAGGGGTAAATTCAGGGCAGACCAGGGTGTATAACCTTCGATGGCAACTGGTCTACCGCAGAAAGAGATGGCAACCTACTGCGGGAAAAACCTGCCTCGTCTGTCATGTATCGAAAGATACATGATCGCTTGAGCGTACATCACGCATGGCACCTAACTAACTAACCCTTGAGGAAGGCATGAAGCTACCTCAAACAACAAATAATCTCGGAGAATTATTCTTGCTGATATTAATCATACTTATTTTAAAACCCAGGTTGTGTGTGTTTGTACGTTTATAAATTGGATCGGATTTCCTACATTTTTCAACCGATTTCAACAAAACTTCACAGGACTACGTAAAATTACCTTGCGGTGGTTCTGACAGCGCCAAAATTGGAAAAACAATTGTTTTTGCACGAAATCAATTTGAAAACACGATTGAAAGGCATCGCTGAGAATGAAAGGGGAACAACTCATATCAATTTATACTTATAAAAGGTTGTGTGTGTGTGTGTGTGTGTTCGTTTATATATGGGATCGGATTTCCAACATTTTTCAACCTATTTCAACAAAACTTCACTTTTTTTGGCAGGTAGTGTTTCTTATTGTCTTGCACAGTTTATTTTTACATTCTGAATGCTTTAAAATTCCATTTGCAAGACAAATGTTTATAATAAAATTCTATTCAAGCGGTAGACACATAACGATTGAAAACAATGTTGTTGTTTGAGTTTGACCAATTCGTAAAAACAAAAAACCTTATGATATGCGTGTCCGTCAACCTTAAACAATAATCTTTGTCAATTTTATTTTTCAATCTTTATGATGGTCGATACTTGATCTATCTCTTATTGTTACATCACCGGGCAACGCCGGGCTCTACTCCTAGTAAGTAATAAATTCCAACTTGAACGATAAATGATCAGTTAAGTAATTCCAGTCGCTTGTATTAATCCATGAATAAAGTTTCACTGTTCATTTACTACGTCAGAAATTAATTAGGTATGTTTTATTGTATAAAAAAACACATTTGTATTTTTTTTTACTGATCCTTTCTAGTTTCTATTCATCTTGAATAATCTGGAAAATGATCCTGGAATACTCACTCTCTGAATCCTCCTCTTCTCCCCTCCCCCCAGCTATGGTCAAACAGCAAGACAGTCCGGATTCTATAGCCTTGGATGTCAACTGGTCTACCGCAGAAAGAAATGGCAACCTACTGTGGGAAAAATCTGCGTCGTCAGTCATGTATTGAATGATACATGATCACCTAAGCCTTTATCACGCATGGCACATAACTGACTGATTATATTTCTGAGAGTAGGTATTGTAACTATTTATCCTATTTATATTATCGAACCCTTATCCTCATCTTTAGAGTCATATTCACCACGTTTCGAACATTGTACGCTCTGGCCTTCTTCAGGTTGTACGTGTTGGATAGACGCAAGATATGAAACTCGGCTTTAACACGAGTTCGAGTGAATAAGTATATAGAAAAAACATTTTAATAATAGATATGGTAAAAATGATTCGTGTGAAATTAGGTTTATACGTCCCAAAAATTCAATCAAAGCAGACAAATGCGTTGATGGATTGATCCCAAAAGTGACTTGACCTAAAGAGTTCTGAGTTCAACCCCTGCCCGCAGCAGACAGAATAAAAACTAAAACAGAATCATACTACGTGAAATTAGAATAATCTACGCACGTGGACGAAAAGGGTCGGTTCGAAATTCAAACAAATATCACCTGAAGAAGACTGGGGATTATAACAGCCGAAACGATGTGAATGTGACAGAAAAGGTGGTGACAACAGTCTGAACAAGGTAAATATATATTCCCCGTTTCAGCTTAGAATATAATAGGATCTACATTCGTGCTCATACCCAAAATATTGATTCTCTATTTAAGTGTACTTGGGTATTTGTTATATAGCCGTTGTATAAAATAACGTTATTAGGAAGTGTTATATAGAAATAAAGTGTCGATGCCGACACTTGAGTTTAAACAGATTGCCAGAGAGTAAACTCAGGCGATCCCATTATTGGATTAAGTAGATCACGTGACGATAGAAGAAACGCATGTATGTAGAAAGTAACTGACGACTAAAGATCGCTATTTCTAGTCTATCCTCTATACTATACGGATCGTTATTTCTATTCTATACAGTTACCATATGGATCTGCACTTCTATTCTATCCTCTATTACTATACGGTTCACTACTCACTATACTATTTCTTTACACAATACTGAGTACTATTCGAGTAAGTATTATCGAGCAAGTTTTATTAGTGCGAATGTTATTCGAAGGCGCCTGACACTAGTATTATTCAACGGCATTATTATAGTTGTATCTGCGATTACAAAGTCTCTACTACATCGATCCTTACGAAAGTGACAACGAGTATCCGTTAAAATCCCAAAAGTGTTCGTTGACATCACAAAAGTAAAAATGATATATTTATTTTGGAAAAGGTAGTTTTAGTCCATTTAAAAAAAAATAGCCTATTGATACGCGTAAAAATTTGTTTATCAAGAAAAATATTTGATATGTAAATTTTTCTTGGGTATGAGGATAAGCCGGCAGTAAGGCCTATGATCGAGAAATTGAGGTTTTTGAAGAGAATTGAACCACCTCTTAATTCCTGTTTGTCCAAATCTTCTCTAAATCGGGGTGGTAGAACCTGTTAGGGGTCCAAGAAGTGGGCACACAATATCTAAATCATACTTTTATGCTTTCAGGGAGAAGGTATATAAAAAGTAACTAATTGAATGCTTTAAATTACGTCTCAAATAGTTAGATCTCGGCATTAAATAAGCCACTGAGTTTGATATGGCAGTAAACAAAACCAACAAATCAACGTATCTAGACAAATGAAAAGTTTCGCAGTATGATCGCTGCTATTGTTCTCATTATGAGGAAAGGAGCGAATCTTTTCGTCAGTTTAGATAAATATTGTTATATATATATATATATATATATATACCGGGGTGGGGTGGGCTTTGTCGGGGTTGGAGGTTCCTCGATAATTCTAAATCCATATCTTTTATTTTTGGTCAGGAATTTTCCACTCCATTTTTGGAAGTCTTCTTACTCCCACCTTCTCTTATTCTCATATGGATATCTCACCATACTTCGGAGGGGCGTCAACGGTTCCCCACTTCTTCGTAGTAACCTCTCATACCTATCCTCTATGCCAATATATACCCCCCCCCTTGCGTCACGTGATCACCTCCGCCTGGCCCTCGTTGACATTCGGCCAATGACGTCCAACTGGGTGGGTGTGATCCGGCTAGCTTTGTTTTAAGAAAAAAATATATCTTGCTCAAAAAAAAATTTTTTTTTTTTCTTTTTTTTTTCTTAATCACAGCTCTCATCCCCAATGTCATCTGGGATCTATCAATGCCAATTATCAAGTGGTTAGTCGTCTAGCGAAACACAGCCAATTTCCGTCCCGAATAAAACAGTGTCATTGTCCTAGCCGTTTTGCAATCTTGGTGCCAATTTCTGATAACAGTTTTATTATCATAACCGAATTCTAACACCCATAGATGTCTTGTCAAAACGGCAAAGACTTAACCCAGGGTTGGCTTCGTGTGCGGTTAACAGATGACCTATTAAATCCTTTCCCGACAATATTGTTCCCCCCCCCACCGACAATATTGGGAGTACGCAGGTGTCAGTGCTCCTTGGAAGGGTTCATATACTGAGGAAGGTGTTTGTTTCTAAACTGCTGGTAGATATGACCATCAACACTCAACGAAAACCTAAATATCGGAGATAATATCAAATTTAAGGATAGCAGTAGCCCATTTTAGGTGGAATTAACATCGGAGAGAATGACGTGGACCAAATATGTAGACTGTATGTGGTTGTGGAGTATATTGACTTGTTTTTTTGTTTTGTCCGGTTATGATAACTATGGATAACAAATATCGAACAAGTAAAATTGAGCAGTATATTCATTGGAAATATGTTAGAATTAAAGTGTACAGCATGATGAAAAAAAAAAGGTACGGAATTCACCAAAAACGAGCCATAGAAAAACATGAGGACACCGTACTTTGGTATATTCCATTCGTATTGAGAGGCACGGAAAAGAACAGAGGTAGTTATTACAGATTGCAAACAATGTTTTCTTCATAATGTATTTCCATCGGATAAAAGTGTGTTACAAAATAAGTTTACATTTGCTGCCATCTACTTAAAAAATTAATATCAATATAATGAAAAGATAAAAACAAGGCAATAAAAGTTTTCATAAAACAAGGCTGCATAAATTTAAACGAGCTACCAGGCTGGCATCTTGCACAAATTAGCGCTTTTGTGTGTTTTCAAATCCTTATCTATTTATTGAACATATATTTCACGTGGTTTTGTTAAAACTACATTCTGGCTGAGGTATATTTTAGGGTTAGTGTGTACTGTAAAGGAAAG